TGGACCTTCTGGTGTTCAGGAAGCTTAGGACTCATGTAGAAATGTGTATGCGTTCATGCTGGTCTGGTTCTGGTCGCAGTTAGTTTCGTCGATGCTGGATTGCCGCTGTACTATTGCTTTCTTGAGGTCCGTGCTTGTCGGAGAAATAGTTGTGTCAAGCGTGACGTAAGCATGATCTGCAGAGTAGAACGGGTGGTGGATGGGAAAGCGTGCTGCCGATGGCCATGGAGTAGTTTCGACAATGATGCACGCTCTAGGAGGAAACCAGTAGTCCTGTCCAAGTAGAGTAGGTGGTACCTGCAGGTGGTAATCCTTTCTGCTGCTTGACTGCACGTCATACCGTGCCTCTCCACGCTTCGCTTTGTAGAAGTTAGCAGCGTAGTCACTGGAGTACTTCATGCAATGGCACTTGGGAATTGCACAGCAGTTGTACCCACTTGCTCTCGTGGGGGAGGTCTAGTAGCCAGACTCCCGTCTCTTGGTAAGTGTGTTTGTTTCCTGGAAGTCAGTACCCGCAGGTTTCCACATTGCACTGAGCTGTAGTCGCCGTGACGCAGATGTCCCAAGTTGTACCAGCATGTAGGTTTGAGCCAGTGACTGCAAGAGATATGGATAGTACAACGTATGCACGTAAGCAGGGTAGCGCCAGGGAAGTATGAACATGATGCAGTGAAAGTTAAGGCTTCCTGACCATACGCAGTACTTCAGTATAAGATGTGAGCGAACGCCGTGAATAGCGTACGTGATAGCATTAATGTGTGACGGCTTTCTGTGTTGTTCTGGTCATCATCGTCCTCGCCCCCAAGATACCCCGAACTACTCCAGGGCGCCAGATGCTGCCTGCCAGCGCAAGGCACCAAGTGCTCTCTTCCCGACCGAAAGCCTCTGACAAGCTCCACGAACGAGCAGGAGTCTGCGGAACCCCCTGACAGGCACCACTAACTGCATGCCCCAGGGGGGCGTAAAGCCTGCGGGAAGTTCGTGCAGAACTGGTAAAGCAAGAAGTGCTTAAAGAGGGTGCTGGCAGCGAAGTCTGTCAGTGCCTTCGCCTGGGGAGGATGAGACAAGACAAGGCGCCGGGAGGGCGAGGCCAAGATCCTGTTCCTCCTCCTCCTCCTCCTCCTTCCCCTCCTCCTCCTCCTCCTCCTCCGCCTCCTCCTCCTCCTCCTTCCCCTCCTCCTTCCCCTTCTCCTCCTCCTCCTCCTCCTCCTCCTCCTCCTCCTCCTCCTCCTCCTCTTTCTCCTTCATTCATTCATTCATGGGCATTAAGAGGTCAGCCAAATCCAGGCTCGCCTGACCTCGGGAAAAAGATTAGTCGGAGTCGTCCGAAACCTGCCCTGGAAACAAAGGCGGGGGGCCCCTGGCCCCTGAATGGGCCAGGGAGGCCCTCGCTCCGCGATGGGAGGAGGCGCCGTCGGCCTGGGGCCCGAAAAGAAACCTCGACGCCTCCTCCTCTTCCTCGAAATCGCTCGCGCGAGACGGCGCAGCGACGGCAGGTCGGACAGACTCGACCGAATCAGCTGCGGGCTGCGCAGCTGCTGAACGTGATTCCCACTCCCCACCCGACTCCCCACCCAGGTCCCTCCACCACTGGGCAGCTCCGCGGAGGACTTTCCCTGGACGGGAAAGGCGAGTGCCTTTGGGCCAAGGCAAAGTGCCTCGGCGAAAACAGCGAACCTGGGCTTTCTTAATCTTATTGCAGGGCCCTAGAAGATGCCTAGGCGTGCGGGTGCAATACGACCCAAGCAAAACAGGACAGGAATGCCTGAGGTGACAACCTTGCACGCCCACATCCTATGTCCTGGGGAAGGAAGGTTACAACCCCTCACCAGGGCCCCAAAGGTGGGAGGAAGAGCAGCACACCGATTCGTGCGCGACGGGGGCGATCTGAAGCTCTTAGCGCACGATAGGCACTGCCATAATCGGCCATTCCACAAAACGTTGTGCTGCCTATGGTTTCGGGGGGGTGGCCTTAAACTCTTAGGTTCACGTTCCAGGGTGCCGTGCATTTCCCTAGCTGAGGGCCAGAGCTCTAAAATCGACACCGCTGCCTTAAATACAGCAAACCAACCGTCTAGGGATTCTTTACAGGCCTCGGCATCCTGGGGGGAGGCATATTCTCGGGCGGCCTCACGACGCATGATATCGGCCCAGGCATTCCCTATTACACGTAGTTGATCTGCCCATTCACGATCTCCACGCTGGAGCGTCTGGTGTGCCTTGACTTTGTGTATGGTAAACTGCTTATCCAACCTCTGAATAGCTCGCCAGCGACCTGCCTGCTGGGAGGTGCCGCCCAGAGCTCTGAACGAAAAAGCACATCCTGTGAGCAGGGCCTGGCAGTCTGCAAATATATATGCCTCTTCATCGAATATTGCTGGATCTTGCCAAAGGTGGCGGAGTCCCTGGAGGAGCCCATGATGTTCAGCCCAGGCAGCGTTTTGTGGGTACTTCCTGGGAAGGGGACCTCGGACCGCACGTTTAAGATCTCCTCCAGCAGTGATTTCAACAGCCGCCCAGCCCGCTCGGGCCAAAAGAGGGTTCGTGGGTTCCAGACAGCTGCCATCGATGAAGATCTCCGTAGGGCACGTGAAATCGAACTCGTCAATTTCGCCGACCCTGTCGCAATACTCAACTATATCATCATCAGGAGGAAATGTCTTGATTTCGGGCACGGGGATCCACAGCTGGGTGTATAAGGGGTCCTTACCCGCTGAACTTCGGGCCGCATCCACAATAACAGGGTCGACATTTCCTCTTGCTGAGTCCCCATGGGGACAGCGCCATAGCCTATGGAAGATAGTGTCGCACAGGCCGCAGCGCGGGCAGGTCGGCTCCACCTTGAAACCACGCTTCCAAAGAAGATGACTGGTGGAAGTCGTGCTGCTTATTAAATCTCTCAAGCGCCTCTTTGACTCGTGGCTCCACTTGCTGCTGTTCCAGACCTTACTGAAAGGGAAACCCCACAACCCTCGCTTCCTGATCTCGTTGGCCCTGGGGTGGATGGCCTCCTCGGGGACCTCGGAATAACATAATTTTTTGTGGACGGAACTTTCCAAAAACTTCTGTCTGAGGTCTGCCGTGAACAGCTTCTGTATGAGAGCGGGTGAGGACTCCGTGATCTTGAGCTCGAGCTCATTGCTGGTCTTGACCGTAGTAGGGCCTTTGAAAATCCAGCCCGCCTGCTCAGTCCAGAAAAGGGAGTCCGTGAGAGGGCTCCTAACCTTGTAGGCCCAACTCTTTCCCCGAGGAACTTGATCGAAGAACCTCTGGGAGAACTCGTAGCTCTGGCGAAGCTCCTTCGGGCTGAGGGCATCTGGCACCTTTATCTGGCTGTCTGTGGTCATCCACCACTCCCTGCAATACCGCTTGAGGGTCGCGCTGGCGTGGGAGATGGGGTCGGAATCTGGCTTCATGAGCCAACGCATATTGATGTCACAGCCAGGCGACCATATGCCGAATAGCCGTGCAGTCTGAACTCTGAGCTTTTTTATTTCCTGGGGTGAATGTCCTGAAACTTCTTCCCCATAGCATATCGAGGGCTTGACTCCGCAGGTGTAGAGTTTGACCTTTTTTGGCTTGCCTTGTTTGCGATCGCGAAGACGACAGATTTTGGGGAGGCGCTTCATGTTCTCCTTCCACCTGGACATCTTTTTCGATCTGCATCCTTTGGCAGCCCTGATCTTCCCCACGTTATAGTCAACCCCCAGATTGGTAATGGAATTCTTGATGAGCCCAGAGTACTCCCCAAGAGCCCCAGGAGCCTGCTTCAAGACCTCGAAGTTGTTAGCCGTGAAGTTAAGCTTCTTCATATGGATGGGGAGCTCAAGGGTATAAGTAAACTTATGGAATATCCTAGCTGCAAGATCCGCCAAACCATTCAGGCATGATTCAACGGTGCATCGTATCGAGTCGAACGCCAAGTCGTCGATGTGAATCGAGAGGGACGTGCCATCGTTGATCGTCGTGTCGCGGATCGTCGGAATCATATAACCTTTGACCTCGAAAGTGGCCGTGGAAGAGCCCGCTACGATCCCTCTGGCGGGGTGGAGCGGCTCACCAACTGCGTTATCCATGAGTAGCCTCCGTGGCCACCTGTAAGAATCGAGTGCCGCCTTCAGCGCGAACAGAGGGAAATCACACCTCATGCCCTCGCTGAGCATTGTGTGATGGCCGATGTGCTCGTAGCACTGCTTCAAATCTGCCAAAAGCGTTGCAACAAATTTGCCTGAGTGATATGCTATGTCGCCTCTCACCGCCGCCCTCCAGACAGAATCCGTAGTATGTCTATGTGAGGCCATGTTGAAGTGTTTCGACTTAGCCGAGATACGTTCCCATTCACGGCAGTGGTGAGCAAGGCTCCTAGAATATATGCGGCTGAAGCTCTTGAAAAACCCGATGGGCCTTCGACCTCCAGTCGCCTTGCGGAATAGTGCAACGACCAGCTCTTTCAGCATCGACGGGCTGCTACCTAGAACGTTCATGGTGTTAACGATGCCTTCCATGACCTCTAGGGCTCCTTCTGAGAGCTGGGAGAAGTGCTTGGGGTGGTACCCGTCCACTGCGGTGGTGAACATCTTGAACTTAAACGAAATCTTTCGTAACTGGTCTCTCGAGGGGCCTGGGGGAATCCAGTAGTTGGTGTCCAGGGGATCCAGCAGCTGTACTCGGGGCTCGTGGGCCCCCCAGGCCTTACTCCAAATATCATGTTGCTCCTGAAAACGTAGGCCGAAAGCAGAAGAGCGGGCTCCATCAACCTCCCCCCTCCTCCTCCTCCTCCTCTTCCTCCTCCTCCTCCTCCTCCTCCGCCTCCTCCTCCGCCTCCTCCTCCTCCTCCTCCCTCTTTTCCTCCTCCTCCTCCCTCATTTCCTCCTCCTCCTCCTCCTCCTCCTCCCTCATTTCCTCCTCCTCCTCCTCCTCCTCCTCCTCCTCATCCGCCTCCTCCTCCTCCCCTCCTCCTCCATACACTGGCCGGACGCGACAGCCCCTGCAGGCGATGGTCCCGGAAGACGCGGCCGTCCGGGATCACGCCAGCCTCGAGCGTCCTTCGGGGCCAAGAAGGGACACCGTGAAGGCAAAAGCGCCAGGCTGTCCCAGTCCGTTTTGCCCCCCAGGATCCTCACCGTGTAACAGGAGAACCGAAGGATCCGATCGGGGTCGGGAGCGTATTATTTTGAAAACCGATCGAATACATGCTGGGAGTAGTGAGTCGGTGCGCCAGTGGATCATCCAGATAAGCCAACATCGAAGTCACTATGTGCAATACTACTACACGAGTGTAGTGAAAACATTGTCCTCAAGTTCGAGAGTGGGCAGCATGCGCTGAGCCTGGAGCAGAAAACTTACGAATCTCTATCCGCTCATCTGCCAAAACGTGTTCAGAAAGGCTGCGACAATAGCCTAACCAAAGCAGGTACCACCGCAACGGACGTGCGACGGCGCTGGAATACGATGCAGGTGAAAAAACATTGAGGACAGCATGTCTGAAGGAATTTAATCATCGTTCTACCAGCAGGAACGCATGATAGGAAACGAAGGGGCTTTTCTGGCAACGGCGAACTCTGGCCACGCATCGGTTCCCCGACCTATAGAGGCCTCCTGGACGGGGTCCGAGGGGATGGGGTCGGAAGATCGCGCCGCATCTCCGATGCATCGGCAATTCATCGATGATGCATCGGCGATGCATCGGCGACGTCAGCGGTGCATCGGCGACGCCGGCATGGAGAACATCGGGCCCCACATCAAGCTGCATCGCCGATGCATTGGCGGTGTGGCGTGATCCTCCGACCACATCTACTCGGACCCCATCTAGGAGGCCTAGAACCCAAAGTTGAGGAACGGCCCGAAAACATTACGCCCTCCTGAGCCCAAATTGGCCCTTATTTCCACGTCTTGACAAGAGGCACTCGGACTCTGCGAATGCATCACCATCACCATCACCACCACCACCATCATCATCATCATCATCATCAGCAGCAGCAGCATCAGCATCATCGCCATCAGCATCATGATCATCATTAGCATCAGCATCATCACCATCATCATCAGCACCATCATCAGCATCAGCATCAGCATCAGCATCAGCATCAGCATCAGCATCATCATCACCATCACCATCCACCATCATCATCATCATCATCATCATCATCATCATCATCATCATCATCATCATCATCATCGTCATCGTCATCGTCATCGTCATCGTCGTCATCGTCATCATTATCATGAGGCGCAAGGAGGCACGAATGATGCCAACCCGTTTGTGTGCCGTCTACCGGAAGCCCTTGCAGACACCGTCGTCGTCGCCGCCGTCTTCGTCCTTATCGTCATTATCCTGCATCTTTTCCTGTTCTTGCTGCTGGTCCTCGTCGTTGTCGACGTCGTCGTCGTCGTCGTCGTCGTCGTCCTCCTCCTCCTCCTCCTCATTAATTATCCTTCTCCTTCTCTTCCTTCTGCGCATCCTCCTCCCCTCCATCTTTCACAACCTCCTCCTCCTACTCCTCCTCGGCCTTCAAATCATCCTCCTCATCGCCTTTCTACGCCTCCTCCTCCTCATCATCATCTTCGTCCTCCGCCTCCTCAACATCATCCGCCTCCGTGTCCTCCTCACCCTCCCAAAAGACCAATGGCGAATCCTTGAGGAAGACTTTCTCGAAGAGCATTTCGTGAAAGGGATCCGGTGAAAGTAAAAACTCAAAATGGCTCAACACGGGAGGCGGATATCTGATTCTCACCTTTGCGGCCTTCCCAAGTCACCGAACACGTGGGAAGGCCACAAGATTCTCACAGTGTCGGCCCTCCTGGGTCACAAAAGCTTGGCCGCCGCGCCATCGGGTTTTCACCGGTTCGGCCTCCCCAGATTACGAACGAGTGGCAGGGCCAGAGGAGTCTCACCATGTTAGCCCTTCCAGATCCAAGCGTGCTACAAGGCCGTATGATTCTCACCTTTTCAGCCTTCCCAGGTGATCCTGAGGGGCCCAAAGGAACCCTCAGGATTTCCCAGGAGACCTGGGGAGTCATGCGGAGCCTCGAGGAGTCCTCCGGAACGCCTACAAGATCCTGCGGAATCCGAAAGAATCCTGATGCAGCCTGAGGAGTCCTGAGGGACCCTGAGGAACCCAAAAGACTCCTGACGAATCCCGAGGAGCCCTGAGGAGCCCTAAGGATTTCTAAGAGACCCTGAGGAATCCTGAAGACACCTTGGGAACCATGAAGAGCCCTCAGGAATCCTTGGTCCCTGAGGCACTTTGTGGGATCCTGCAGAGTCCTGGGGAATCCTGAGGCTCCCTTCGGAATTCCGAGGAATCCCGAAGAATCCTGAGAACCACTGAGGATCCCTGAGGATCCCTAAGGGTCCCTGACGAATCCCTGTGAATCCGGGAAAACCAGAGGATCCCTGAAGAACCCTAAGGGATCCTAGCGAAATATCCCAAGGAGGAACCCTAGAGAATTCTCAGGAGTCCTTGGAAATTCTGAGGATCCCTGGAAATTTTGACGGGCAGCGAGCACAGGAGGGCCCCTGCGGGGCCCCGAAAGCCCCGCCGGGGCCCTCCGGTGATCGTTGCCTAGGGGCCTCAAGACAGCGCTCTTAACAACAACAACAACAACAACAACAACAACAACAACAACAACAACAAAAACAACAACAACAACAACAACAACAACAACGACAACAACAACAACAACAGCAGCAGCAGCAGCAGCAGCAACAGCAACAGCAACACCAACAACAACAACAACAACAACAATCATTTAAGACTGGGGACACACCGTTCTCACCAGTGCCAGGGTTTTCATAGGAGGCGGGCAATACCCCCACTTTGTGGGGGGGCCGGTTCAAGCTCTATCAAATTTCCAAACGACTCGTCGCCAACACCCACACCCAGCTTCCCGCCCTATGACGTTCGGACACTTCACTTCGTGGCCTGCGGACGACCGTGGCTACTATTCAGGGCCCCGCGGCCGACGACGACGGCGTGCGCGCGCGAAGAAAAAACGAATGTGTCCCGCATGGTATTATTTGACAGGGATGATGGCCCTGGCAGGTGCGCAACCGTTGTCGCAGAAGTTCGAAAAAGTTGCTCGCAAAAGCCCGTTTGACAGAAATGTTTAAAAAGTGTTGGGTTTCCTACGAATCCGCAAGAGCGCGCGGGATGAGATTTTGACATTTTTTTGTTGAAAAACCATTGGTTTTTTGATGTTTTTATGTTAAAATCGCTCCGAACACTAAGCTTTTGGAAGGATTTCGTCTTGCGCGCGCGAATGTCCACTTTACCTTATTTTTTGCAAGGGATTCTTGAAATTTGATTATATTAGAACAAGAAATGTCATTTTATAGTGTTTTTTTGCAAGGGAAAACGGATTACAACAAAACAACCGGATCTGGATCACATCGTTTTACCTGAGGCTTCCTCACGAAAATGATGAAAATGTAGCTGCGGCCGAGGCGCGGCGGGGGGGGCGTGCACCAGGGGGCCCAACAATAATTATTCTTTAGAAGTAATAATATTCAACAACAACAACAACAACAACAACAACGACGTCGACGACGACGACGACAACGACAACGACAACGACAACGACAACGACAACACCAACACCAACAACAACAACACCGACAACAACACCAACAACAACACCAACAACATCAGCAACAACAACAACAGCAGCAGCAACAACAACAGCAACAACAGCAACAACTACAACTACAACAGCAACAACAGCAACAACTGCAACACCAACAACAGCAACAACAACACAAACAACAAACTCATCAGCAGCAACAGCAGCAGCAACAACAGCAACAGCAACAGCAGCAAAAACAACCACAGCACCAGCAACACCACCAACAACAGCAACAGCACCACCACCACCAACAACAAAACGACCACCACCAACAACAACGACAACAACAACAATCCGCACCGCATGACCTCACTTCAGCCACGCCCCCACGGACAGTGAGTGACCATTCGGTTCCTTCACTCTGACATATATTTGTTTGTGTCTACTAAAAACATTCGCGCGCTTCACGCGCGCTTTTAGGTTCTAGCATGCTCTAATTGCAGTCTAAAGTGTTCGGCATCGGAGGACACATATTGTCACACTGATCGTGCCCCTCAGGAAGCTTCAACTGCGGCCCCAGAGACAGGCTTGGCTCAGCGTCCCCCCGCCCATGCCAGCACATCTCTCACAGGGATCGCGCCCCACAGGGAACCTCACCTACGTCCCCAGAGACAAGGTTCGCAGAATGGCACGCCCCTCAGGCGGATCGTGCGAAAGTAGGTGCATATGTGGCACCAGAGGAAAACATCACAGCGTCGCCAAGCTCACTCCGGCACACCTCTCACACAGATCATGGCTCCAAAAAAAGCTCCACGGACGGCCCCAGAGACAAGGTTCGCATCCCGCCCACCCGCCTACTTCGGCACACCTCTCACACGGATCGTGGCAAACAGGCATCTCCACCTACGGCCCCAGAAGCAGGGTTCGCATTTCGCCACCACACTTCCCCCCCTGGCCATTGCGGCACAACCCCATCACGCGGATCATGCCCATACGGAGTACCACCCACAAGGCCCAGAGACAAAGTTCGCACAACGCCCTCCCGCCCATGTCGGCACACCCGTCACGCGAATCATGCACCAGGAGGAGTTCCCCTGTGTTGGGAGTGCCTGGGGGGTCAGGTCTGCGGGAGGCCCGTAGGGACGTCGAGGGGGGCTCCTTGGACGCTCGGCGCCGCGGCCCTTGGTGTGCGAATTGTCGCATCATCAACTTATTCGTTGCGCCGAGGGCCAAGCATGACTTCCACGTCGAACTTGATATTCTGAGGTCGTTTTCCAAGGTTCGATGACAAACGACAGCCCAACGCAAATGGGCAAATATCAGATCGGCACGCGTGGGCTAGCGTAAACGGGAAGTGCAAGAACACCGCGCTTGATGATGTGGGGCAGTCGAATGGGCCCGCACCAATACACTGGGAACGATTGGGCAAACCAACGCCCATCGAACATGGCCTCGTTCCCGACCAGACAGGACAAAACTACAACGGGCATGTGTTTCCACGGGGTGCTCGTTGACACCAGCGGCGCGAATCCCACCGCCATGGCGCAGAAATCAACTAGACAATCAGACGTCGATGTATGCTGGGGGAACTGGGGGCCACCTGATTGCAAGCAGAACGCTTTCGATATGGCAGAGGTTAGCCACCACAGCCGCCGAGATGGCTCAACCTGCTTCCAGGAAGGTCGAATATGGCTCCAACGCGGCCCGAGATGGCCCCATGACGGCGCAAGGTGGCCTCAAGATTGCCAAAAGAGGCCTCGGGGGCGGCTCAACAGAAAACAGCAAGGCCCCTCAAGGGAGGCCGAAGAAGAACGTAAGCATTGATGTCCCGTAATTGCGTCATTGGTTTTTCCGTTCTAAAGAGACCCGAGCGGGCCAAGAGGCCCCCCACATGAGCCAAGATGGACCAAGACGGCCCAGACGAAACCCAAGAAGGCCCCAATACGGCATGACACGACCCCGGAAGCGCTCCACGGCGAAAGACGGCCCCGCGATGGCCCCAAGAGACCATCGTGACAAATAAGAGGGCCCCGAGACGGCCCTAGGGGATTTCTCAGATCGTCCAAGACGGCCCAGCCAAGGCCGGGAACGGGCCTGCACGACTGCCGCAAAGGAGGCGAAGACAGCCCGGGCAAGCGTGGCCGCAGGCCAGGCAAGAGCTTTCCCTTTCGGGCGGCCTCGGGGACACGGGCGGCGTTGAGCTAAGCCCGGCACCTGTACTCCAGCAGGCAGAACCACGAAGCACTGGGATACAAAACGCGGTCGGGCCGCAGGGCCACTTTCGGCAAGTGTACTAATGCCCGCACGTGGCGGTCCGAGCCCGCATGTCTTTGCATGCCGATGGATTCGTGTTCCGGCAGGCGTGGTTGCGTGACGCGTCGCTCGCTGGTTGCGCTTGCCAACTGGGGTTCATAACCATCCTCGTCATCATCATCGTCAAAATGATAACCACACAGGCCCATCATCACAACCCTCCTCGTCATCATCATCTCAATTCGAACAATCACCACCCAAATTGTTGGAGTGACGCGGATGCGAGACTTGCTGCTGGCACCAGGATGCAATATGCAACGCGATCGGCGACGAGCACGCGGCGCTATTCTCAGAACGTTCGCCCACATCCCTTGGTTATGAAGCACGAGCCCCCCCGAGCAAACAGCGCATGACATAGAAGCTGTTTCTACAAGCTTGAATGCTTCGGACTCACGCTGCGTGGGAACAGTGCAACTTGTGCAAGCATGTGCGTGCTCGTGTGCACTGCGGTGAAGTGGTCCTTGACGCCGCGCGCCGCTCGGCCACGCGCACGGCCCCTCACCCCCCATTGCTCCTCCTTGTCATACGAATGGTGGCCTGCGCGGCGCATAAAACTCTAATATATTGTAGGGGGATCGATGAGATTGAGCAGTTTTCGGGGGGGGGGCCCTCGGGCCAATTTAGAAGAGGAGGATGAGGGAGGAGGAGCAGGAAGGTGAGCGTTTTCTTATTCGGCGTTTCGACATTGGGCGGCAAGGGGGGGGAAGGGGGGGTCTGGCTCCAGACCTAGTGCGACTGTTTGCAGGAGTGCGTCCTAGGACGGAGAGGCTCCACCCGCTCGAAACAGGCGCAAAAACAGCCAAAATACACTCCAGAGGGGGGGGGGTGCGAGGACCCGCGCAGATCGGCAACACAATGAATAAAAAAACGATAACCACGAGTTTCAGGGGGCCCTCGGATGACGAGCAGTGCGAGGAGAGGGCGGGACGCAGATAAGTGCCGCGCGCGAGAAAGCCGGCAGGCAGAGTAGGATTAGGTCGGGCATGTCCTCCTACAGTTGGGACTTCCGACGAAACATCAAAAATTCTCAAAACAGATTCAAAAAACAGTCAACAAATACTCAAAAAATCGTTCTCGGACTATTTTTAAACTATTTTTGAATATTCCCCCTGTGGAGGGACAGGCCCGACTTAACAGTAGGAGATCGACCGCTCGACCACAAGAAACCTCCCACAAGAAACCCAACCCTGCGACCCCAGGACGTCCGTTGACTTCTGGTGTGGTAAGGTCACGCTTTCCATGGCAAAGCCACCGAAACCCAAGAAACCCAGGGCACCCTGGAGGCAAGCAAGGCGTTTCTTGGCATGGGTTTCCACTGTAAGGACCACCTTTTTGCCCGTCGGACCCGGGCGGTCGTCGGCGGTTTGCGGCGCTCCCCGTCGCTCTCGGGGTTGGTCCTCGACGGTCTCCCTGGCCAGTGCCGGTCTGCTGCCTTCGACAGGCGGGGCTCGCGACCGAGCACGTGGAAGCCACCTAGGAGGCCGTGGGGCGGGAGAGGGGACCCAGAAGTCCGACGCTGCGTTGGTTCCACAGCGCGGCCCTCCAGAAGACTGACCCTCTTTCTGGGCCCGAGCTTTCAAGACGAAGCCATACGAGGATAAGTTCGGGTGAAGATCAATCGAGAATCTCTGAGATCCGTCCGCTCTGGAAGATGTCTCGAGCGCTGCGGCCTTCTCGGAAAGTTCCGGAACGCTCTGAGGGCGTTCTGGAAAGCTCCGGATCGGATGTATACTCGTCCTCGACCCGTCCGAGCTATTTGTCCTGAGTCGTTGTTGTTACGGCCCCAGGGCCCGGGAAGGGCCCCCAGAGGACCCCAAGATCGCCAGAGACCTTCCGCCGAGGTCCTTTCACGACGCGGGAATGTCAGGGGGGGGAGGGCAGGAGGAGAGGAGGAGGGGGAGGAGGAGGACGAGGGGGAGGAGGAGGAGGAGGAACACAAACGCCACAGCTTCTTATGCAGGTTGTTCTAACGGAAAAGAGGAGGAGGAGGAAGAGGGAGGAGGAGGAGGAGGAGGAGGAGGAGGAGGAGGAGGAGGAGGAGGAGGAGGAGGAGGAGGAGGATGAGGAGGAGGAGGAGGAGGAGGAGGAGGAGGAGGGCAGGAGGAGAGGATGAAGGAGGAGGAGGAGGAGGATGAGGAGGAGGAGGAGGCGGAGGAGGAGGAGGAGGAGGAGGAGGCGGAGGACATTTTTGACATTCGCTTCGGGGTGAACTAAGTCAGGCGAGCTGAATCAGCCAGCAACCGACCTTCAGGCCATGCCCAAAGCGTTGCCGATGCAAAAGCGGCTCCACCGAACCCAACCCAGGAGGATGAGAAAGGAGGAAGAAAGAGGAGGAAGGGAGGGAAGGAGGAGGAAGAGGCTACCCTGCTTCTCAGAATTATCCGGAACTGACCAGTTCTTCGGCTGGGCACTGTGGTATTCCCTTCTATTGTTGCAGATGAGTCCACAGCAGCTGTTGATCCACACGTCAGCTGTTGATCCACACGTGAAAAACAAGGATGCCGCCACACAGTCGTCCGCCTCCTCTGCACCTGCCTGGCGCCAAGTACGCTGAGGGAGAAGGAATGAATGTTCGCTGAACGGGTTTTCCTCTGGTGCTCTCGTCGCGTTTCAGACCGCCAGTGAAACCGACCCCTTTCAGTCGAAAAGGTTCGGTTTTCTAAGCGAGTAACTGGACAAACAAAAAAACACCACTGGAATCACCCAAATACAAAGCCGAAGCTAATACATCAAACGTCTTCTAGCTCTTGTCTGAGCTCGAACACTGTAGAAAAGGGAAGCAGGTCACCTAAGATGATCGCGTTACCCCGTCTATAGTTTGGGGATTTCCCTTTGTTGGCGCGACTCCAATTGGCCTTCGCCCTGTTGGTTTCCCTACGGGGAGTGCATTCGCCATCTAAGCCTTACATTCTGGCTCCCTCAGAGTAGCTACCACAAGCACGACAGATTAGAAGGATACCCATAGGGTGCTCTGAAAGGTACAGAGTGTGACCACGCTGGTTATGAAACAGGCTGCGAAGAATTAGTGAAACGCCCTGGCACCCTAAGTCAGGAGGTGAAGGATGGCGGAGCAAACGGCCCTCAAGCCTCCTCTCTGCAGGGTCTTGCCTGGAACGGGTACTGCGGCGCTGACAGTGCAAGCAAGTCCAGAAACCTTCTGGAGGAGGAGGACCATCCTTCGGAAGCCCCCCACCCCGGAAGGCACACGGGGTCCTCCTGAGCCAGTCGTACGCGGCCTCGGGCTGGTCCTCGCAACAGAGCTCCCAGATGACCGCCTGGAGTGCTGCAGCCCGCGGGGCCAGAAAGCACCGAGGGATGTCCCCGCACCCTCTCCTCCTTTATCCTCCTTATCCTCCTCATTCCCTTCTTGCTCCCCTTTATCCCCCTCCTACTGTCCCTCCTGCTCCTGCTCCTCCTCCTCCTCCTCCTCTTCCCCCATCCTCCTCCGTGCTGCTCCTTCTCCTCCCCCATCCTCCTCCTCCTTCTCCTCCTCCTCCTCCGACTCCTCCTCCTACTCCTCATCATCCGCCATCCTGCCTTCTCCTCCTCATCCTTCTCATCCCCAGCCTCGTCCCTCTTCCTCCCTTTCCCCAGAATTCCTCTGTCCTCACGTCGTTGATGGCCCAGGACTGGAACAGACGCCATGCAGATGGACAATAGAATCCCGAAGAAAGCCACAAGGCGACCCAAGACCTCCCAAGACGCGCACTGAGGGCCCAGGTCCGAACAAAGTCTATGAAAGCCCCTACGGCCTACGGGCGTCCAAGAGGCTCGACGAGGTCCCAAAGGGGCTTCCAGAGGCTTTCCGGGAGGCCCCAGAGAGGCCGACGTTATTGAGCATCTGACATGCTTCAATGCGTCTGGCCTTGCTCCATGGGTCGCCCGCAGTGGCCACAACATTTCAAACGAAAGCCCCCCAACAAGTGGCTTCGAGGATCCTGCAAGCCTCATCGAACATAAGTCGAAACGCAGTTCAACATCGAAGCGCCCGATAGTGCGGGCACTTGCCAGAGATTGCGTCCCTCCATGCTGCGAGGGCACCAGACACCCCTGCGTGTGGCCCGAACGCCTCATGCCAACATTGCCGTAGCGCCGACCGCGCAAGCGCACAAAACAAAAACCGTCAAGTCATGTTTGAAGAGTCTCGTAGCGGCCCCAAGACGGCCCCCAAACAGCGCGAGGATACCCCAATGCGGGCTCAAGACTCCCGCTGCACCAGCCCAGAGCCCTCCAGGAGGCCCCCGAGACCGCCCAAGGCTGCCCGCCGCAAAACAGCCGAAGATGGCCCATTGACCTTGCATATGCTTCACGGAAGCCTCGAACAAACTCCCAAGGAGCCCCACCAACCCGGTGCCAGATCTTACGTAGAGGCCTCCCAAGCTGGGTCAGAGTAGATGTGGTCGGAGGGTCGCGCCGCATCGTCGGTGCATTACCGATGCATCAGCGATGCACTGGCGATGTCGGCGTGGAGAAAATCGGGCTCCTCATCGATCAGCACTGCCGACGCATCGGCGATGCTGCGCGATCCTCCGATCCTCCGACCCAAGCCACTGGATTCATTGCGGCGCTCTACACGAAACTGAAAACGATACTGTCTAAATTCGCCGGGACTTGCGACCCTCGATCTCTGGACGAAGCCTGGCACATATCAGCGGCTCTCTGTGCAAGTCTCGAGGTGCCGCCGACCACACCGCCGCGCTGGCACGATGGCGCAGTGTGCTTCTGGTGTTCGGATGTAGGCCTGTTTTCGAACTCGGATGCCCCCGAAATGCGCGTGATCGGCATGAGGAGCTTCCACTCATGTCCATCCACTCCGAAACGCACACGTGTTAACCAACTCGGGTCTACCTTTTTTCCCGCTTCTTGAGCAGGGACCGACCGTCCAGGCATTCCTATAGTCCTACCACGCAGCGCTCTTAGAACCCAAAAATGTTCTAAGAACAAAACAAAGTTCGTATAACAAAAACCCGATGTGCTAAATCAAGACAGATTCCGCCAACCATGTTCTAAGAACATTTCGTGCAAACCACGAACAACTCTTAGAACATTGTTTGGTAGAGCTATAGGCGAGCCAAGACGCTTCGCCACTGCTTGAGTCTCCCCCCCTTCGCTTCCCACCCGGGCGAGGGGGCCGAGTAGCCCCGGTGACGGCATGGGGGAAGAGGTCGCGGGACCCAGCCAGGGCGAGCGCGCGGCGTCGGGGGGAGCGTCCCGGGAAAAGGGGAGGGAGAGGACGCGGGGGAGGGAAGGGGGGACGAGAGCAGGAGGTCGAGGCGAGGACGGGGAGGTGCCTGTCACCGCGGGGCTGAACGGTATCGCCCGTCTGGGTCCGCGCACGGACGCATGCTTTGAAACATCGGCGTGGACGGCGGACTGTTCATGTTCAGTGTCGTCTTGACGCGAGAAATGTACGCCCGACCGTACTGTCGAACTGCGCGTATAAAAGCAGGCGCGTAAACGAAAAAACAAGCATTGCGCTGGTCGCGGGCTATTGAGTTTAACAAGTTGCTGCGCGGACCTTACAAAATGTCTGAACCTGCATCGGGACAGCATTCAAGCATTGAACCGTTTATTAACACTCTACGACATCGGCGGGCTTTTGACCCTAAATGCACGTTGGTTTCACGTTTTCGGGTGGTGGGGGCTCATTATTATCCGCGCCTGCGGAGACTGTGGTACGTGTATGCATTACCCACGCATTACTTTCATCACAATTTTGTGGTGACGAGCGTCCAGGCGCGTCGCGCCCCGACGAAGGGTACGACGCGCCCCTTCGCGGGCGCCGCGTTAGCGGCAGAGCCGACTGCGGCGCGGCGCCGCCTCCTTAGTAGAATCCAGCGCGGCGCGCGGCGAGGGAGCAGCGCACGGGCCTGACATCCCAAGACGCACCGCCACCGTCGCACCCAACATGCGCAACAGAGCGCGCAAGGTGAGGGTGGGCGGGGAGAATGCAACAGGCAGCGGGCCCGCCTCTCCTGCAAATGCCTGAGTCGCTTGCGCGGCGCCGCGGTGCGCGCCTGCGCGCGGCCCTGCCCACCGCGCGCGCGTGCCTGCCAATCGATCCACCTACACCTGCAAGATGCGCACCGCGCGCGTGCCCCTGCTGGCCGCGCGCTGCTTCCCGCTGTCCCCCTACGGATCGTGCCCGCGAACAGGCGAACTAGCGAGCCTGCGCGCCCATCACGACTCGGTGGCGACAGGCGCCCAGGCGCGTCACGCCCCGTCGGTGGGTGTGACGCGCCCCCTTGCGAGCGCCGCATCAGCGGCGGAGCCCACTGTGGCGCGGCGCCGCCTCCGTGGTAGAACCCACCGCGGCGCGCGGCGAGGAGGCACCGCGCGGGCCTGACACCCACTGCGAAACCGAACGCTGCTGCCGACGACGACGAAATGTGTTCAACACCGTTGTGAAGCCTTGGGTCTCGTGAGGCCTCTTGGCGGCCTCTTGGGGGTCTCGGGGGCTATCGGGGGGGTCCTGGGGGCCTTTTGGGGTCTTCCTGGGGGTCTCCTGGGCGCCCTTTGGGCTTCCGGGAGCCTGTGGGAGGCCTCTTGGGCGGCTCCTGGGGGCTTTTCGGAACCTCGTGGGAGCCCCTTTGGAACCTCGTGGGTGCCTCTTCGAGCGTGTTCGTGGCCTCCAGGGGACTCTTGGGGCGTCTCTGAGAGGCTCTTGGGACTAATTATCTCGGGGATCGTGCGCAAGCCTCGCAAGCGCATCGGAGGCGCAAGTGCGAAAACTCAACAATCATAGATTATCCTTAGGTGTTTCAACAAGTTTGGCCTCTCGAGAGGTTCCTCGGAGGTCTCTTGGGCGGTGGTGTTGGGGGATTCTTGGAGGCCTCTTGGCACTTCCTTGGGCGCTCGTGGGGGTCTCGTGGCCGTCGGGAAAATGTACTGGGCCTTCTGAAAAACCTTGCAAGGTATGTCGAACCGTCATGGGCCGTTCGGAGGCCCTCCAGGGGCTCCCTGGGAGGCCCCGGCGGGCGGTGCCGGGGATTTGCCAAAGATACTCCGCGGGTGGGGGGCGCCCTGGGGGGGGCGTAGTTGTGATACACACATGCGTGAGCACTTGTGTATGTCTGTATATATGTATGAAGATATGCATGCATACATACATACATACATGCATCCATACATCCATACAGCTTCTATACATACATACATAGATACATACATACATGCATACATACATACATGCATACATGCATCCATACATATGTACATACATACAGACAGACAGACAGACAGACAGGCAGGCAGGCAGGCAGACAGACAGACAGACAGACAGACAGACAGACACACACACACACATACATACATACATACATGCATGCATGCATGCATGCATGCATGCATGCATGCATGCATGCACACACATACATACATACATACATACATACATACATACATACATACATACATACATACATACATACATACATACATGCATACATACATACATACATACATACATACATACATACATACATACATACATACATACATACACACGTACATACATCCATACATACATGCATGCATGCATGCATACATACATACATACATACATACACGTACATACATGCATGCATGCATCCATGCATGCATGCATACATACACATATACATGCATACTTACGTACAAACAGCGATGTGTGTACAATTCTGTTCACACACATGTATATACATACATGCATACACACGTACATCTATAAACACACATCTCATATTCCTTCCTCTCTCTCCCTCTCTCTCTCTCTCTCGAAGCCCTTGCTTTCCAGGGGTTCGGGATGCCGAGGGGGCCCGGCGGCGAGCCTCGAAGCTGGTGCGCCTGGGCCGCTTCTGAGCCTCGGGAGGGGAAGCCGGGCGTCCAATGCTCTGGGGCACGGAAGCGAACGCAAACTGAGCGCAAGGGGGGCGAGGCGACGCAGAATCGAGAGGGGGGCTGCCGAGGGGGACTAGGAGGAGGCACGACTCAAAGTTGGGGCTCTTCGTCTGCTGCACGGCGGCCTCAAGCTCCCCTTGTGGGCCCAAACATGCGACGTTGTGATTCATGTCGCGCCAGGGCTCCCCAAAGGTCTAGACTTCATCCCCGGGACCGGTTTTTCGTCACGAGCCGTTTTCTGACGGCCCCAGGGCCTGGCAAAAGCGGCCCCCTGGGAGGGCGAAAATTATCCATCCGTCGCATCTCTCCAAGACAAGACAAGAAAACCGTGCGTCCATGGAGGACGCGTGGGCAGAACGTGGTACAACAAAGTGGCGGAAGTCGCGGCCAGCGCGTCTACGAATAGGGGGAAGAGGAGGAGGACGGGGAGAGGGAGGAGGAGGAGGAGGAGGAGGAAGTCGAAGAGGAGGAGATGGATGCTCCAAACCGTCAATTCGAGATTGTATATAAATTGTGCCCACCGCTGCGTGGATCTCCCCCTGCGCTGGTGGAGAGCCCAATTCTTCGCAGTGTCACCCGCGTTGCACACCAACCGCTTCACAAAATAATAGTTTTCTTGCGTTTTTGTTCCTAAATAACTTGACCTCGAAATCACAAACCATTGCAGAGAGCGGTTTGGGTCTGGCACGCCCAATCACGGTAGCGTTCGGAATTTGCTACAATATCCGCCGACCGTTCGGCATGTGTGAGACGCTGTCGTAGTCGACTTCATCGTCGTCGTCGCCAATCCCAAGGAAATTGAGGAACGAACAAGAGAAACAAACCCTGTAGTTAATTCGATTCCTTTTTCCCTGCCCTGGCGGGAGGGGGTAAGGAGGGGTAGGAGGGGGAAAGCGGGGGGGGCCCTGGTCGGATTGCCGCCCTCTGGGGGTCCCAGCGGGTGGTCCCACCTGTAGACGGGGGGAACAAGGAAAACAAATCGTTCCTCCTGTGGGATGGAACCGGCCCTGGTCCCGGCCCTGGCCGAAGCCCTGGCGCCGAGCCCGGTCGCGGCCGCGGCCGTGGCTATGGCAGCGGTCGTGGCCCCAGCTTCCGGGTCCTGGGGGGGGCCCAAGGTCTCGAGGGAGGTCCCGCCTTCAGGGTCGGTGGCTCTTGCAGTAAGGCCTTCAAAATAAAAAACGTACTAGGCCCAACAATCTCTATATATATACACACACACACCTATACGACCACCCTTCGGGTGATAAGGAGGTTGTGGAGAGGGGAAAGGGGGTGGAACCAACATCTGATTCAATCGATCTCACTATCGATCTCATTCAATGGGACACCACGGGACACCACGGGACACCACGGGACACTTGTCGATCTCACTATCGATCTAACGATCGATCTCACTCAACGGGACACCACGGGACACCACGGGACACAGCGGGACACCGGCGGGACACCGGCGGGACACCGCGCGGCAACGGCCACCAGATGAGAAACAGTTGGTCCAGCCGCGGCCCAGCCACAGGAGGATTTTGGGACACCAGCGGGACACTGGCGGGACACCGCGCGGCACCAGCCGCCGGAGGAGTTACATTTGGTCCGGCCGCGGCCCAGCCACAGGAGGATTTCCTCTCGCCCGCCTACGCTGCTTCGCCTCGCCCGCACGCACGCACGGCACGCACGACACGAACCCGAAACCGACATCGATTTCTTGGTAAGGACGGTCTCCGTTTCACGTTGGACTCACCCCCCAACCTCCGATATATATATATATATATATACTAGAACCATCGCGCGCGCTCAGGTTCAACCTCAGACCCGGGCAACGTCTGAATGCCGGATTGTGCTGCTGGACAGCAGGGTGGCATGATGCTCATGTGAGCGGCAGTCTGCTTTAGACAACCAGGGAACCGAAGGCCCCGAGCAACATCAGCCGCGGCATCACCAACACCATAAGCCATGGGGAAGACGCCCGAGACGACGGAGAATGAGGCCGAGGTGGGACCCGCCGAGTCAATCTGACGAGAAGGGATGACGAAAAAGAGTCCCAACGGCCCTCGCGGGCGTGAGACGTCAAGGAAGCTCGTTCTGCGAACCCCCTCGTCCTTTTCGGGGCGGGGACCTTCCCCTACCGCCTACCCCTACACCCTCCCCCTGGACGAGGGCGTGTGGCGGGCCGGTCGAGCGTCAAGGATGGCCCCAGAAGGTAAGGCCCCAGGAGCCCAAAGATGGGCCTCAAAGGTCGTTCAAAGTGTGCCAAACTGGTTTCAAGATTTCTCAAACACGCCCCCCAAAAGCCTTCAATACCGCCCCCAGACGGCCCGCAGTGCCATCCCAGCACCCCAGGGAAACCTCCAAGAAATCAAACTCCTTCCGAAGCGTTCGAAACATTATGATGTTTGCCTCCTCCCAGTGTCGATTCTGATCGTTTCTGAAGGCCAGAAGGCGACCCAAGATGGGCCCAAGTCGGCCCCCCAAGGGACCCAGCAGGAGCGACATACAGCTCCGAGAGCAGAAGAAACCGCCTCAAGGGTGGCCAAAAAGCGGCCCAAGAAGTGATTTGTCAGACCCCGATTGGGGCATCCCCCCCTGTCTGATCGATGGCCGTCAAGATGGTTCCAAGAGGGCCGTCAGGCCTCCGAGAGGGACCCCAAAGGGCCCCACAGAGCGACCCACGAGGGCTTGACGAGGAGCCCAAGAAGATTGCATAATGACAGAATTATCATTTTTCAAGGATTGCCGCGTGGAGGAAGACTGCTGAATGACGAAGCCCCTCTCATACACGAATTCCCGCATGAAGGGGGCTGCATAACGACAAATCCTTCTCGTACACGGATTGCCGCGTGGAGGAGGGTGCAGAGAGACAACACTCTCCTCGTACGCAAATTGTCGCGTGGAGGAGGACTGCGCCTCTCGTGCGCGAATTGTCGTGTGGAGGAGGGCCGCAGAATGGCAAATCCCTCTCGTACACGGATTGCCGCGTGGAGGAGGGATGCAGAAACACAAAATCCTCCTCGTACGCCTTTGTGTCGCGTGGAGGAGGACTGCGCAGTGAAACACAGCCTCTCGCACGCTGAATGCCGTGTGAAGGAGGGCTGCAGAAAGACGATATCCCTCTTGTACACGGATTGCCGCGTGGAGGAGGGACGCAAAGAGACATAATCCCCCTCGTGCACCTTTTTGTCGCGTGGAGGAGAACTGCGCAGCGTAAAGAAGCTTCTTTCTCTCTCTCTCTCTCTCTGAATGCCGCGTGAAGGAGGGCAGCAGAGTGACGATCTCCTCTCGTACACGGGTTGCCGCGTGGATGATTGATGCAAAGAGACAAAATCCCCCTCTCTTGGGCAATCTTGGCTGCTCTTGGGCAGTCTTCAGGCTCTCCTGGGCCGTCTTGAGGTTCTTCTCGAGGCCTTTTCAGCGGTCTTGGGGAGTTCTTCGGGGAGTATTCGGCCGTCTTCGAGCGTTGGAAGCTCGAGAACGCGAGAAAGCGAAAAACATTTGAACAACAAAAATCAAGGATATGGGCCTCGTCGAGCTCTCTCGGGACGCTTCTCGGAGCTCTCCTTGGAGGGCTCTTGGGCTGTGTATTGGCCGTGTTGGGGCCATCTGGGGCCACATTGGGGCCATCAGGGCCGTCCTGGAGCGCCTTGGGGCCTCCCGCTCCCGCTCTGGGGCCCAGCTTGGGCCTGTCCTGGGGCTCTCTTGGGCCGTCTGATGCTCGTCCCGGGCAATTTTCGGGCTCCCTGGGGCCGTCTTGGAGCTCTGTTGGGGGCCTCTTCGGCGGTCTTGGGGCGTCTTGGGGGCGTCGTCGGCTCGGAGGCCCTGGAACGCCGAAACCATGTAAAAACACAAGGAAAGTGGGCCCCAGACCTCCCATGGAGAGCGCAGGCACACTCCTCGCGAGCTCGGAGGCCCTGGAACGCCGAAACCCTGTAAAAACAAATGGAAAGTGGGCCCCGGACCCCCCATGGAGGGCGCAGGCACACTCATGGCGGCCTGGCCCCCTAAACCTGGGTATATATATCTCTCTCTCTCTCTCTCTCTCTCTCTCTCTCTCTCTCCGCCGGCCCCCTTCCGGGGCCATCAGGCTGCGAGGATCAATGTTGCTGCTCCCTGCACCAGTTCCAGCTTCCAGTTTCCATTGTTACAGCACTGCTTTCTGCTTCCTACTGTAAATTGTTACTGTCCGCGCGAGGGGGGGGAGCCGAAAAGGACTCTGGTTAGCGTCCCCCGGGAGGGTTCTCAGAATTCCTGGGGGGCGTGGGACACGTAAAAATACGGGAGATTCGTGCCCCCGAGGCTATAATCCATCGTAAATTACACTGTATTCGCGCCCCCGAGGCCACGATCCCTCGTAAAATACTCTGTATTCGCGCCCCGAGGCCACAACCCTTCGTAACTTACGCCACATTTGCGTATCCGAGGCCACGACCCGTTGTAAATTACGCCACATTCGCGCCCTCGAGGCCACGACCCTTCGTAATTTACACAATATTCGCGCCCCCGGGGCCACCATCCTTTGAAGCCAGAATCCTTTTTTAATTACGCAACATTCGCACCCCCGAGGCCACGATCTCTGGTAAATTACACCAAATTCGCGCCCCCGGCGCCAGAATCCCTTGTACATTACCCAAAATTCGCGTTTCCGAAACGACGAACCCTTGTAAATTGCGCAGCGGGCGTGCCCCCCAGGCCACGAACCCTTTTAAATTACACAACGTCCGCGCCCCCGATGCCACGATCCCTCGCGAATTACACCACATTCGCGCCCCCGAGACCACGACCCCTCGTACAGTACGCCAAATTCGCGCCCCCGACGCCAGAATCCCCTTGCAAATTACGCCACATTCGCGCCCCCGAGGCCACGCTCCCTTTCACATTACCTTACATTCGCGCACCCGACGCCAGAAGCCTTCGTAAATTACACCACACTCGCGCCCCCGAAGCGACGAACCCTCGTAAATTGCGCAGCGGGCGCGCCCACGAGGCCACGAATCCGCCCCGTGGAGGCTGCCCGCCCCCCCTCTCCAAAGCAGAAAAACTACAATTTCCTGTATTGGGATATGTGCTCCGCTGGTATTGTTTTGCCCCCCCCGCCGTATCTTGAAAATTCGACGGTGGGCTCCACATTCGCGCCCCCCAGGTCACGATCTCTCATAAATTACACCACGTTCGCGCCCCCGAGGCCACGATCCCTCGTACACTACGCCAAATTCGCGCCTCCGAGGCCACGACCCCTGGTAAATTACGCCACATTCGCGCCCCCGAGGCCACGATCCCTTGTAAATTACGCCGCAGTCGCGCCCCCGAGGCAACGCGATGCCTAGTGAATTATGCCAAACTCGCGCCCCCCCAGGCCACGATCCCATGTAAATTACGCCACATTCGCGCCCTCGATGTCACGATCCCTCGTAAATGACACTGGATGCGCACCCCCACGCTACGAATCCACCTCACGGAGGCTGCCCAAAGGCGACACTCCTTCTCCTGAGCAGAAAAACTGCAATGTCCCCAAATACTGCCTGAAACAATCAATCCCCAGCCGTTCCCAGAGCGCTTCCAATGAACAACTGGAGGGAAATGCTCTAAGAAGACAACAAAGCATTCAACAATGATTTCACAATGTCTATATGTTTGGCTCATCGCCAGCCGCCCTAGCATGACGTTCCCGAATGTCATCAAGACGGTGCCCAGGCATCCCAACATAGCTCTGGTGTATCCCATTATGATAGAGAGGGGGCCGGCGGCAGGGGGCGAAGCCCTTACGGATATGTGTATATATATAAACACGTATAGCAAACATCTGTGGTGAAAACGACCAGCTTTGCTCGATCAGTCTTTAGCAACCCCAAAGACTCCACCGACTAGAAGAACTTGCGCAGCACGCCACTGGTGTAGATGTGCAAAATCTGTGTCTTGCTCACTGCAACATGTTTCCACACCTTGCATAACTGATGGCATATGTTTTCCACTTGGCCCAATCGCCAGATCAACTCATTACCCTCTGGCCCATCGTATGTGATGACGCCTCCTATGTGGAGTGCTTATGTAACGCTTGTAGTGGGTTCCCGGGTCGGCCTCGTCACCACGTTGTCCGACGAGACTCGCATTCGCAGTTTTGGCCAGTTAGGCTCCAAACTGTACTTGCGCTTTTCAAAATCGATGGCACGCCGTATGGTTTGGCAATATTCCCCGTGCCTCAAACATGACAACGCATCATATGCGTAAAGCACGTCGCGGGTAATAGCATCACGCGTGTCACGCTGTAGCTAAATGTCATGGTGATCAAGGCTAAGGGAACATCATAAGCTTAGCTGGCACAGTCCGTTCGGGTTACGGTCAACCCGTATCATAAGGATGCACGAGAAATATGCAAATGGCCTCGGAAGGACATGCTGACACTCTGCGAGCGGGGCGCGGCCGGCGAAAGTCGCTAAGGATGGGCCGAAGGGGAAGGATAGAAGGGTGGCCTTGGAAAGTCGCTCATCCTTACTATGCGGGTTGACGGTAGCTGGCACAGCTTCTTCGGGTTCATGTTGTAAGCCCGTCCCTGGATCAACAGGAACTGTAGCCGAAAGGCCTGGTCGGGGACAAGTCGTGCACACGGAGCTCGAGCTACGGCGATCCCGTGTGGGGGGGGCAACGAATGCGCAGTGGGTGGGGGGGCGAGCGGCTGATTGCAATGTGACAATGTGTGTGGAGGGGACAAGCGGCTGCGACACGGCACGTGCCTGCGGCAACTTATCTGACCCGGGCGTTCGCTGACGGGGGAGAAATGTACCACAACGTTCGGTGTGTGTGTGTGTGTGTGCGTGTGCGTGTGTGCGTGTGTTTGTGTGTGTGCTTGTGTGTGTGTGTTTGTGTGAATGTGTGTGTGTGAGTGTGTGTGTGTGTGAATGTGTGTGTGTGAGTGTGTGTGTGTGTGTGCGTGTGTCTGTGTGCATGTGCGTCGGGCCCTCGTTTTTCCGTTATCCCTGTCTGCGGAGCACTAGACAGGCCCCTTGACGCATCAAACCCAACATGCGTTCAATTTTGGACCAACCTCCTGCGTTCTAAAGGCATATTCTCGGGTTTCCGCACCGTCAAGACGGCCGAAGACAAGAGGCCTCCAGGATGGCCCTGGGAGGCCTCCAAGAGGACGCCAAGACGGCGCAGGAGGCCCCCAGGATAGCCCAGATGGCACCGAGAGTGGCCCCAAGAGGGCCCCAAGACGGTCCCAAAGACCTCCCTCCCAGGCGGCGCTACAGCGCTCCGAGGAGGCCGAAAGACGGCCCAGGGAGACCCCGAGACGTCCTCTTAAGGCGTCAGACGGGCCAAGAGCGGCGCAAGGCGGACGGCCCAACAAGGCCCCCCCACAGATCCCGAGAGGCCGCCCGCCCCCAGGGGCCCCCAAAGGAGGCCCCAAAGGAGGCCTCCCCCCCAGCCCGAGCGCGGCGGCGGCATCGCGCGGCAACGCAACTGGATAAAAGGCGGGGGAGAGGGAAGAAGCGCGCACCTTTCTTAGGGGCCCGCGGTGGCACTGCGGAGGCTGCTGTGGGGTTTGCCCCCGCCCCCCCCCCCGCCCCCACCCCCGAAGAACAAGCGCCCAGCCCGTGAGGGAGCACGCTGCCGATCCGGCTCTCTGGCGGCCAGGCCGCGACGGTTCTGCCTTTCCAGAAGTGCGCGAATTCGAAGCGTCCAGCATCATCATCATCATCATCATCATCATCATCATCATCATCATCATCATCATCATCATCATCATCATCATCATCATCATCATCATGATCATGATCATGATCATCATCATCATCATCATCATCATCATCATCATCATCATCAGCATCAGCATCAGCATCATCATCATCATCATCATCATCACCATCATCATCACCACCACCATCATCATCATGTTGTTCCTCCTCGTCCTCATCCTCTTCATCACCATCAGCATCATAACCACGAGTATCGTCACCATCATCAGCATCACCATCAGCATCATCATGACTAATCATCCTCATCAGCATCAGCATCATCATCGTATTCATCATCACCCCCACCACCATCACCACCACCACCATCACCATCATCATCCTCATCATCATAATCAGCATCGTCATCATCATCAGCATCGTCGTCGTCATCAGCATCAGCATCCTCATCCTCACATGCATCTTCATCCTCATTATCATCCTCATCCAAATCCTTATCCTCCTCATCATCTTCCTCCCACCATCACATCACACATCATCATCATCGTCATCATATTCATCATCATCCTCATCATCCTCACCCTCCACATCACCATCACCACCATCATAACCATCACCTTCACTGTCAGGTCCATCATCATCAATCATACTCAACATCCACATCAAGATCAGCATCAACCAACAACATCATCATCATAATCATCAGCATCATCGTCATCATCACCATGAAAATCCTCAGCATCAGCATCATCATCATCGTGATCAGCAGCATCATCATAAGTCATCAGCATTAACAGCATCAGCATCAGCAGCATCATCTTCATCAGCATCATCATCCTAATCTTCATCCTCGTCCTCCTCCTCCTCCTCCTCCTCCTCCTCAAGACCATCAACATCAACATCACCATCACCATCACCATCACCATCACAGTCACCATCAACATCAACATCAACATCACCACCACCATCACCATCACCAACGTCGTCCTCCTCCTCCTCCACCTCCTCCACCTCATCATCTTCCTCCTCCTCCCACTCTGCCCCTCCCGCTCCCCCTCCCACTCCTCATCCTCATCATCATCATCATCCTCCTCCGTCCCCGCCACCTCGCCAAGCACATCCTCCTCCTCCTTCTCCTCCTCCTCCTCCTCTTTCTCCTCCTCCTCCTCCTCCTCCTTCTCCTTCTCTTCCTCCTCCTCCCTATCCCGGTGCCCATCCTGGTGCCCTCCCCCCCCGACCCCGACCCCTCTCGTCCCCAGCCCTCGTCCGTCCTCCTGGCCGCGATCTGCATCCTGCCCCCGCTCCCGACCCTGCTCCTCCCTGGTGTGGGTAGTAGTCTTTCGGCCGCCTGAGAAGCTCGAATATTACCACCGCCACCGAGAGCGGGAGCATCATCCCTCGGTGGAGGCACACCGCCGACGTGTGTGTTGGTGTCAGCCTCCGGCCTCTGGGCCTCCCAAGGTTCGTGCGCAGACTCTCTTGGATCGGCGCTCAAGCCAGCCCCCCCCCCTCCCCGGCGCGCGCAGCGCGCCGGCGGCAGCGCCGCCAGGGAGCACGTCCAGACGTCTACGTTCGTGCTACGTTTTCCTCCTTCGGTGCTCCAAGTCCGTCCTCTCGCTCCTCCACGCCCCTCCCGCGCCCGCCAGCCTTCAGCATCCAGTCGAGCAGCGCGCCGGCAGCCTCGCACCCCTTCCCCTCGCAGCAGCTGGGGCCCCAGGACCGCCACCGCTTCGGAGGCTGCAACACGCGACAACCATCGGCCAAGGCGTCAACAGCATCCGCAACAGATCCTGCAAGAAGACTGATTACGCGGGTGGGCTTTTGCCTGCTGCAGCCAGCCTCGAGCTTCCCAACCCCTTCGATGGACAGGCCCGAATGGGTCCAGCAATCGTAGGGATGCGCCCTCGTACAATTAAGTAATCCTCAAGATCAACATGAGACATGGTGATGCCAACCATAGAGATGGTAGGGATATGTTCCTGTGAGAGGAGGACGAGGTGAGCAGAAGGGAAGGATGAGGAGGACGAAGAGAAAGAACAGGCTGAGGATGAGGAGGGCCTCGCGGCGGAAGGACGCGGGCCACGACGCATCCCCACGATTCTTCCCCACTCCTGCGCGACAGCCGCACAGCACTGCGAGCCGCCCGCTCCGGCCCAGGCGCTGCCTGCAAATGGACTACACGGCCAGGCCCTCGCGACCTGCTCTGCCAACGTGCTTTGCCAAGCGTCCAAGCACCCAGAGCGGGCCAAGCCTGTCGCTGGCCAGGGACGCGTTTGGCCGACGACTCCGATGCTCTAAATCAGCAAAAACAACCGACGCCTCGCTTCCACCACCCCCGTCGTACTCCCGCTGGCTTCCGTTGGCCTTCCGCAGGGTATCGCTGGAAGGCGAGGACGCGCAATAGGCGAGGCCCCGACGTCGTTGTCTTCCCCAATGTGACCCCCCGAAAATCTGGACACCATCCCAGGATCTGGCTGTTCTGCCGCTGTTGTTTTGTTGACAACCCTTGGGCCTTGTGCAAAGACCCAGCAGGCAGAGAAATTCAAAAACATCCCGTCGTGATTTTCGTCACGACGCGAGGATGTCAGGAGAAAGGAGAAGCCTGGCATGACTCGTTATGGTGCACGGGCCATCGTGCCCTTGATACTCGGTGCCAGAATCAGCTCACGGACTGCGACAATCCTCGGCGACAAATGGATACCAATGCCCTTGCAACTGGCTGGTTACCGATGCTCACCAGCTGTGCCTCCAACCTATACGCCTTCAATATTGCTGGAACAGCATGGGGACCAGAATCCAGAGATGGAGCACGATGGACGGGAAAGGGGAGCGAGAAAGAGGGAGGAACAACAACAAGTAATGGATTATGGATGAGGACGAGCAAGCTGGGATGATGAGACGTCCTACGTATTGGATGTATGCGTTTAACGCCTGGCGGCGTACAATGCTCGTCGTTGTCGTCGCATACCCTCTTCATGCGAGGTGGGGGAGGGAAATTGTTACCAATGGGGCCAACTACACAGTTCGAGGCTCAATGCATTCCCTGGCCCGGAACAAAGTGCGAGCCCCTTGTGGGGTCACTTAAACTGAGCACAGACACCATGCCGGCCGCTGAGAGGGGGGCAATGCAAATTATTAATGATGGTTCAGAAATGTCAGCTCATCAACACCCTCCTCCTGATATATTCGGTTCCCTCCCCCCACCCTTCCCGTCCGTGGCGTTGCGGCCTTTCGCGTAGGCGACCACCATGTCGTCGTAGGATGCCTCTGGCGAGTCCAGGCCCCGCGCAAGCCCCGCCCAGGTCCACCCCAAGGGGCGAGGTGCGAAGACAGGGGGGAACGAGAGGAGTATTTAACGATCGGGAAGAGGATGTGGCACAGGACGAGGGTCGGATTCAAATCGGCAATGGCAGCAGTACCAGCATGAGTGTGACTGTTCCACCTCCGCGCCGCGAGGCGTTCACCGAAATGTCATCGGTCCACTTCGAATTCATGTATGCATGTGTGCATATATATATATATATATAGAACAGATGAGGCTTGCTTCATATACTTTGCGAGGGGCCCAAGGGCCCCAGGGACGGATTCTCTGGGGTTCCCCACATTGCTTCTGGGGCGTGCCGCGTGGCTCCACGGGTGTGCCGACGGATTTTCCAGATTCCAGACGGCCCCAAGACACTTCGACAGGGACCCAAAACAATCCCAGATAACCCCGAATGGGCGTCAAAGGCTCCGCGACTGTCCGAAATGCTCTCACGACGGCCCATGAAGCTTCCAACACGCACCAATAACCTCATGCCCGTGAGAATAAACACTAGGGGATAATAAAGTTCGGTGTTCAGGGAGAGATAATAAAAGTAGCCCAGCAGACCTCAGCATAATCTCGAAGTAAGAGATGATCAAGAGGAGACCAAGCCGAGCACGTTTTGAGACATCCTTGGCGTTTAGTTTTCATAGAAATATCCTCAACAATGGCTTATCTCGCTGGAGACATCCTCGGCAAATCCCTTGTTTCGCTTGAGACATCGCTTGAGCATAGAATAAAAGAAATGATGGGAGGAGGAGAAGGAGGAAAAGAATAACAAATCTCGAGTTTCAAATCTATTAGATTTTATTTACAAGCGCTTTATGAACATTGTTTTTTGTAAGTGCTCGTGTAGGGTAGCTCACGTGCCTCAATTTCCACGGATAATCAACCCCAGAAATAAAAAAGTTCAGGCGAGCGTGGGGACAGAGAGAAATATAAAAGAAGAAGAATACAGTAGAAGAATAATAAGAAAGAAGAAGAGGAGGATAATAAGAAGAGGACGAAGAAAGGAAAAATCCAAAGTTCCAAATCTATCAATTTTAATTTACAAACGCTTTATGAAAATTGATGTTTTAAAGTGCTCGTGTAGGGTAGCTCATGTGCTTCATTTTCCATGGATAATCAACCCCAGGGATAAAAAAGTTCAGGCGAGCGTGAGGACAGATAGAAATATAAAATAAGAAGAGGAAAGTAGAAGAATAATAAGAAGAGAAGAAGAAGAGAATAATAATAAGAGAAGAAGAACGGAAAAATGGAAAGTTCCAAATCTATCAATTTTAATTTACAAGCGCTTTATGACAATTGATTTTTTAAAGTGCTCATGTAGGGTAGTTCATGTGCCCCCCTTTCTATGGATGGTCAACCCCAGAGATAAAAAAAGTTCAGGCGCGCGCGGGGATAGATACACATATAAAAAGGAAGAGAATAAAACATATAACTAAAACAAAAGAAAACACTTGCAGGTTTAGCTTGAAAGATCCTTGAGACATCCTTGGAACCTTGCTCGTTTCGTTTGAGTCTGCCTCCCAATTTTTGTGGTTTCGCTTGAGACATCCTTGAAACATTGCTCGTTTCGTTTGAGTCTGCCTCCCAAAATTAATGGTTTCGCTTGACACATCCTGAAAAAGTGTGATCGCTTCGCTTGATGTTGCTATATCAACATCGCTTGATGTTGCTATCTCAACATAGCGTTTCGAGGTGATAATGAAGTTCGGCCTCAGCGCTCGCCGCCCAATTTGAATTTTGCATAGGGCGACGATAATCAACTCTAAACACTGAAGGGGGGGTTCCTTTATTATCATCGGCGTGCGGTTACTGGCCTAAGGAGATCCGGCCCCGAAAACGTCAGACGGATTGATATTCCTCAGGCGCCCCCCGCACCCATGCCCATACCCATGCCCACTCATTCCTTCGGGTGATGGCGTGGTGTGGGGGGGGGGGGGGGGGGCGAGCAAGCTTATGGTTTGCGCTTGAGGTCAGATCAGATTTGCGATATATCGAACAAGCGACCTAGACAGACGGATGAGGAGGACTGGGCTCGACTGGAACGCCTGCAAAGCAACGCGTTGCGAGACGAGCACGAGATATGCATAATCGATCTGCAGATAGCACCCCGCATGGGGCTTGGGCTTGGCGAAAACGAGCCGGTCGGGGCCCTGGAAGGCGACGGCTGATCTACGAACGCACTGTTCACCACATTGAACCTCCTGAGGCTTCATGATGGCCTGGCTCGCGTTTGCCAGGTGGGTGAAGTCGGCGCCGCCGAAGGCATTGCCGATTCCCACGCGACCGCGAATGCGCTGCAATCCAGGACGGCGGAGGCGCCGGCTCAAGCTAGCTTCGCCGCGCCACCGCCGGCGTCTCTCGCCGTCTGCCCGCCGCGCGGCCGCGAGCCAAGAGGGGGTCGCGGTGCCTCTGGTCAGAGCAGGGCCCCGCCGCAATGAAGACCTCGCCAAACAAGCAAAGAACGCGGGCGAGCCTTGCAAACTGGATGGCGACTCCTGGCGATAGATGCCAGCCCGCAGAGTTCTGCCCAGATCGATGCGCGCAGTGATGAAACGCTTCCAGATCGCATGTAGTCCACTCCTAGTCGATCTCGGGCCCTCCGCATCACATACCTCGGAACCTCTGGGAAGTCCACGCGTAGGGGCGCAAGAGAACCCAAAAGTGCTCCAGGGGGAAGGCCGCTGGGGCGCTGCCCGCTTCTTGCGAGCAGCCCGAAGAAATCTGGACATGGGTTTTAGCTTCTTGGCGGCCCATTGGGGTCTCGCGTCTGCCGCGGCTAACCCGATCTCTGGATGACATGGGAAGCCCCCCGCCCCCCGGAAACGATCAATAATGGAGGCTGCGAGACCTCTGTGGCAAGAGGGCAGTTGGATCCTAGTTCTGAAACCCTCAGAGCGGGGGGCGACCGCGTCAGCGCATCTGCAACAGCGCTTCCTCGGGCCCGCGCCTCTCGCAGACGACGGCCTTGACAATCGAGCAACTGCTGCTTTGTAACCCTGCTTGCGGGCCTGCGTGAGTTCGTCGTTGATGTCGTCTCCACTGCGCAGGACACTTCCGACGTATATTGCGGAGCGCCTTGCGGCTGTCCCTGGGCCCCTGGGCGGCGCTGGCCACCTCGTCGACGCGCGCCGCGGCGCCGCGCCGCCCTCTGAGCTGCGGTCGTTGAAGGGCGAGCTCCCTGACGTGACCCGCTGGTTCCCGGTTGCCGGCCAAGGGGCATCGCCTGCAACGTCGAGGCCCCGCCTCCCCCGTCGCTGGGAGGAAGGAGGAAGTGCACCCTTTTTCTTTCGTGCGAAATCTTTCTTGCGAAATTGCCTCCACTTGTCGCAATCATTTGAGGCGCGCAGTTCAATGCACCGGGGGAAGCATGCCCTATGCGTGCCTCGGCGTAGACCATCCATGAGAGCATCTCTGGTTCGCCGGTGTTGGGGCTGAACGGATCCGAGCCCAGGGCGGTCGAGTGCCTCGGCGGGCAGCCCGAGCGCGCCGGGATAAGAAGAAGCCAGTCGAGCACGGGCGGGGGCGCGATCTCTGGGCGCGCCGATGCAAGTGCCGGATGAGCTCGCCAAATTGTCCCCAGAGTCCCTGCTGCGCGCGCCGCGGGCAAGGCGCGCCCATGCACGATGATGAAGTCGAGCTGCCTGACCTGCCACTTGAAGCGCGCCGGCCCAGATCCACGTTGCGCACATAATGCTGCCACGTCGAGCATTTCAAAAAGGGGGGAACAGCTTCCGCCGAATATCATTGTCGCGCTGCGTCGTGATGGGGTCATGTCTGTCTGCTTTCGGCGGGTCGCCGAAGCTCCGCACCTTCCAGCTTGGCGAGTCCGAGCCCCGAGTTGAGGCTGGCGCGCGCGAGTGGAGAACGCCCGCGCGCCCCCCTGAATGGTCGCGAGCGCGGCCACTTGATGATAGAGTCGCAAAAATGAAGATAATCTTCGAGGTTGCAGGCCTTCGACGAGGCGGGGGAAAGTGCGCGGTGTCCGCGGTGATGTCGCAGCGCTCACTGCGCGCTCGAAGAACAACTCCTCGCCTCGCAGCCGGCGAGACCCCTGCCTGCGCGACGGGGCCCGAGGGCCGAGGGCGATGGCGCAACCGCATGATTTGTCGACGCGTTGAAGGCGGGGACCAAAACCAAGGCGCCTGCCTTGCGATGCGTTGCCACTCCAGCTACAAGTCCATATCTTGGACTTCCAATGCCATTCATGCATGCGAGATCAGAGCTGCGGGGGCGGTCCGAGATCCCGCAAACACTCAGCGCGCGCTTGCCCCCCCTGGCGCCGCAGTCTTGACGCGGATGGCCGAGGCTGAAATTGTCTCCGCGAGCCCTCAACTCCGTCGCCTGAGAGTCCGCGGGAAGCGCGCTGCCACGACTGAGCGAACGCCATAGAGGAAGCTGCACTTGCTCGAATGGGATTCGGCGGGGGGGGCGCGGCGGCCCAGCCCGGCAGAGCCGGCGCTGCGGCAGAAGAGGGGGAGGTCTACGTCGCCCCCCCCCCCCCCCCCCGACCAGCGGGGCGCGCGCCTCCGCCCCGTCGGCCCCGCGCGCCTTCGCCGACCGGGCGGCCGTGCCCGAGCGGACCTTAGCGCCATGAACTGTCGCTTTCTGCGCTTTCCATGTCTCGCTGCGCCCGCCCCAGACTTCATTGTCGGCCGCGGGGCCTTCGCAGGTTCATGTCTGCGCGCGTTCTCCAAAGACATATGTTGGCTGGTTCCGCGAGCGACTGCGCGGGCCGACTGGCCCGGTCGAAGCAAGATGCGGCGACGCACTAGGCGGCGACGTGGCACGGGGCGGCAGCGGGGCAGCTCTCGCGCCAGAAGCGCGACGGATAGGACGCGCGCAAGCACGCGCAGGCACGAGAATGAAAGCGGCAAATCCAAGCGCCAACACAAAGCACCACAAATGCGAAGAACCCGCGACAAGCGAGTCGACACAAGAAACATAACTTGGAG